TTCCTGTTCTTTAGCTAGATATGGGTTCTAGTCCCAGTTATCAGTTTAGGTTTAAACTTGATATAATCTCTGTAGTCTTATGACACTGTCCATATTATAACACACTATATAGCAGAATATTCTTGTGAGATACTAGTAGTTAAATATATTAGGGATGTTAAATATCGGTTAATTGAGTAGTCGAATAACCTCATGAATTCTTATCGGTTACTCGACTATTCTATAGTCCCTAGGGGTGGGGCTGGCAGCCAGTGCTCTCCAGCCGCACTCCAAAGGAGCCCTCTGCCACTCTGCACTGCTGCCTCTGTATCAGAAGCAGTAGTGCGGGGTGCCAGGCAGGAGCAAGTCCAATTTAAAAACCAGCTCCCCTTGCAGAATGACTGTCTGTACAGAGACGGGGCTGTCTGGCACAAGCCGGAACTGAGCCGGGATGCCTGCCCACTTGGCTCCTAATACACTTAAAATGCAGAGCTGCAGCGGGGGTAGATCCCGGATCTGGCGTGAGCCGGGCTGCTGGTCAGCCTTCTAAAAAATTTACTATTGGGGAGAGAAAAGGGGAAATGCATGTACTCTATAGCATTAACTGATAAGCTTTCTCAGCTATACTATTACATCCCTAAAATATATATGGTTGCTTACCTCTCACTTTGGTGATGTGCATAATTTTTAACCTTGGGAAAACTGTCAAAATAAGCTTTTAAGAAATGTCCATCAGAAATCTCCCTTTCTTATGTACTGCTTTCTAGCCACATTTTTTTCCTCCACTTTTCCTATGACTTTTCTATATTAGCAGTTGCAGTAGATCTCGAGTAAGATTAAATCTTCTGCACAAAAGTGCCTTCCATGTTGGTTGCTAACTGAGTTAGCTAGAATAGACCATTGTCTTATGAATTTGGAAAGGTCTCATCCTAACTGAGCATCCAACATGTAAGTAGGGTGAGTGTATTTTTACACTTCTCCATGCAAGTGAAGGGGGCATTAATATTGAAAAGGAAATGTGAAATAACTACTGTATGGGTCTAGTACTACAAGCTCTGGTACTTCTCAAGCTTAATTGTTTCAGTAATTTATTTGTGTTTTTAATGCACAATATACAACCTGCTGTATGTAGATTTGGCCTCCAAAAGTATATTAGGCGGAGGTTCAAGATTATCTAAAAAGTACAATAGAATGAATTTGATTTTCAAAAATACTGATTTGAAGCTGGCAACTGTATATATCAGGACCCTCTTCAACTATGTTATAATTCTTCCTTTTGTTTTGTAGAATGCACTTTTGCCAGCAGGCTTCCGACAAAAGGATCAGACTACTAAAAAGTCCGCAGGCCCTTTTAACAGAGAGCAACTCCTTGCTTATTTGGAGAAGCAAGCACTGGAACATAAAGACAGGGAGGATTTTGTTCCTTTTACAGGGGAAAAGAAAGGTAAGAATGTCTTTAGCCAGCATGTTGACATTCATTCAGGAATGTACTTTACTGTTGTAATGTGTGGGCTGTTTTGTCATGCTGGCTATTCCATCAAAAGAAGAAACTCCCCTCAGCCAGTTTATTTGAAGTGTCATTCTCCCTGTCAATAGCTGGAAATGTTGCTGTTGCTTACACAACTGGTGTGCAAGTAATTGCTTCTGGCCGATTCTATTAATAATTTGATATTGCATTAGAACATGACAAAAGAGTTCCATTGAAACAACATGATGTAGTGGTTTAAGCACAGTATCGGGAGTCAGGAAGTCCTGAATTCATGTTCCAGGTCTCCCACGGAACTGCTGGGAACAGCTCTCTGCTTCCCCATCTTTAATACAGGAATGCTTAATAACCACAAAAGGGTGTCCTCATTAGCTATTGTTTGTATAGTGGTCTGAAAATGTGTACCGTATTTTCCGGCGTATAAGACGACTTTTTATGCTAAAAAACATCCCCCAAAAATCGGAGGTCGTCTTATACACCGGGGCTTTTCTCGCCCCGGAGGACACAGACTGCGGGACCTCGCAGTCCCGCCTCCCGAGACCTATGTAACTTTGTTCTCACCCACAATAATTTCCAATTTGAGAACAACTTATACCTCCAGATCAGCGGCACAGCCATGGGTACACGCATGGCCCCACAGTATGCTAATATCTTTATGGCTGACCTAGGACAACGTTTCCTCAACTCCCGTTCCCTTTTACCCCTTCGCTACTTATGCTACATCGATGACATCTTTATGATCTGGACGCATGGCCAAGAAACACTGGAGACATTCCACAGAGATTTCAACAACCTACACCCCAGCATCAATCTCAGCCTGGACCACTCCACACGAGAGATCCATTTCCTGGACACCACATTGGAAAATTAAAATGGAAAATTAGACACCACTCTCTACAGAAAACCCACTGATTCACACAGTTACCTACATGCTTCCAGCTCCCATCCAGAACACACCATACGATCCATCGTCTATAGCCAAGCCCTTCGATACAACCGCATCTGCTCTAATCCCACTGACAGAGACCAGAAGCTTCAGGATCTCTACCAAGCATTTATAAATCTCAACTACCCACCCGGAGAAATAAAAAAGCAAATTGAAAGAGCCAGACGAATACCTAGAAACCATCTACTTCAAGACAGACCCAAGAAAACCAACAATAGAACACCACTTGTCATCACCTACAACCCCCAACTTAAACCTGTCCAACACACTATCAATAAACTACACCCTATACTGGAACAGGATACCATACTCCAAGAGGCTCTGGGAGACAGACCCATAGTCTCCTATAGACAACCACCTAACCTCAAGATGATTCTTACCAACAACCACAGGACATACCACACTAATACCAACCCTGGTACCTTCCCTTGCAACAAACCCCGTTGCCAGCTTTGTCCACATATTCATTCTGCTGATACCATTATTGGACCTAACCAAGTGAGTTATAAGATCAAGAACACATATTCCTGCGCATCCAGAAATATAATCTACGCTATCATGTGCCGAAAGTGTCCGTCTGCTATGTACATTGGACAAACATCTCAGACACTTCGCCAAAGGATTAATGCCCACAAAACAGATATCAGACAAGATCACAAAGAGAAAACAGTTTCTTGCCATTTTAACCAGAAAGGACACTCTCTCAATGACTTAACCACCTGCATTCTGCTACAAAGACCTTTTACATCTGCACTTGAAAGGGAATCCTCTGAACTGTCATTCATGTTAAAATTCGACACTCTCCGGGAAGGAATGAACAAATACTCAAACTATCTTACCCATTACCAAGATAGCTTCCCCAATTATTACCTCTAATACCATTAGCTCACAGACATCTAACTTTCCCCACCTCCAATATCATTAACTCACAGACACTTACCTTCCTTCCTCCTCCCCCCCGCATCCTCCTTCTGTTCTGCAATGTGATTTGTCCTTTTCATATTTGTTCATTTTTTTAATTGTATCCTTTGGTATATATGGTTGTGACTATTTTCTTCCACTATTTGATCTGAGGAAGTGGGTCTGGCCCACGAAAGCTCATCATCTAATAAATCATCTTGTTAGTCTTTAAAGTGCTACATAGTCCTGCATTTTGCTTCAGCTACACCAGACTAACATGGCTACATTTCTATTACTATACTTCACTACACTTTCTAGTGTCTTTACTAGACCCACTAAATTGACCCCCGGGGGATTGATTGCCTCAGCACTGATCTCTCAGTAAGCATAGATCTGTGCTGATTCTTCTGGTTCAAGGTGGAGTGCCAGGGTCAACTGGAGAGTGATCTGCAGTCAATTTAGCAGATCTTCACTAGACTCACTAAATTGATGCCTCCCTCCCCTTTCAGTTCATCAATTGCCAGGACATCAATCCAGCTGTAGTGTAGGCATAGCCTTGGGCTTGATCTATCAACTTACGTCAGTATAGCTACATCACTTGGGATGTGGAAAATCTATACCTTTGAGCCACATCATTGTACTAACCTAATTCCTGGTGTAGGTATTATCTTCACCATGTGCACAATAAGTGTAGGCAAGCCCTCAGAGCAATTTAGAACTTGAGTGAAGTTAGTCTGAATAAATGGAAATTAGGTGTGGGGTGGGGAGGAATGGAAATCTTGCTTTGCTGTTTAGTTAGCCCAGCTTAACAATATTTCCTGCTCATCTTTTGACAAATCATCTTTGTTTAATGTGAAGAAATTCTGATCTGAGCTGCTTCTGTTTTCCTATGTGCTATTTTGCAGGGACAGAGAATTTACTACCAAATACAATAAAATAGAAACAGGTCTGAGCCTTATGTCTAACTCTACACTGTTACATTTTTCCTTAATTATGTGGGAAATCTATGTAGCTCTGTCTCCCAAAAATACAAACCACATCTATCCTATTTTTATATACATCTCCTTTACCTTTGCCAATAAGCTGTCTTGATCATGGGAAGTTTTACAAAAAGCCTATTTTCTATGGGATGCTTATTTTGATGATGCCACCTTGTGCTGTAATCTTAGTGGCTCTTGTAGGTTAAGCAGAGAACATGTGGCCACTCAATGAAATGGTATTGGTGAACCAATCTTGAGTCAGTTCTGAACTGATTTTCAGCATGATTTTATGGGTGTGTCTTGTGATCCTGAGAATTTGAGATTATTCAAGTAGTACACAGTGCGATATGTTAAATACTATAGCTACACACAAACTCTGGTAACTTTTACATGCTGCTTGCCTAAATTCCCCTGTTGTTGGAATTGAATATGGCTCTCTCCTTCTCTTGTATCTGAAATAATTTATGGTTGTGCACGTCTAAACAACTGTGTGATTAACCCCAGGGTTGCTACGTGTTACTATCATGTTATGATTCCTCTACATCTTAGGATCTGTAATTACCTCACTTTCTTGTGAAAGTCAGCTTGAAATTGAATTGTAAAATATTGTGAGTACAGAGAAAAACAGAGCTATAGATGTGTGGTGGATAACAAATCTCATGTAAAATGAGGACAGTATACTCCTTCCAGAGCTTGGCTTTGTTTCTAAAAGCATGCTATCAAATGTACATCACTTCTGAAAAAAAACCAACTTTGTTTCTGACCAGTTTTAAGACCTTTAGTCACATACTGTTCTGATTAAGTTTTGAAACATACAGTAAGCCATTGTTGCCTGAAGAAAAATTATTCAGGCAAAAGATTGATGTAATACATTCTTCTTTCATGAAATGTCACTTTAAAAAGCAGCACAAATTTGAGAGAAATTATCTGTGTGTTTCCCTCCTAAAAGGGCCTTTTGGGAAAACCAGAAGGCTGGTAGTGAGGGGATCTGGGTTTTGTTCCTGGCTCTGAAACTAGTACGTCTTTGGACAAGTCACTTAACCTCTCATTGCCTGCTTCCCTAACTATGAAATTGTGATACTTGCCTACCCTCATGAGGTAATGTGAAGATTAATTTATTAATTCTTGTAGCCCCTCTGAAATCCTCATGTAGAAGCTGCTGTGGTTTTACAAAATATTAACTAAATATTAATTAAATTAGATTTTGCGTCTCAAAGCATTACACTGTTCTAGTCCTTCTCTCCCACCCCTTCTGCATTGCATTCTTATGATGGCTTCTTCACCTTGTGGATTGGCTGTTCATAAAACATTGTTTCTGCTTTAACATAACAGTAAATGGACTAAAAACTCTATTATTATTATTTATCTGGATTGATCCAGATCATTTGGCTTATTTTAATTTAAAATGAGTGTTGGCAACAAGAGTTATCTTGCAGGAAATTCCCCCAATTGAAGTTATACCCAATTTTGCCTTTTGGACAAATGGCTGGTTTTCAGTAGAAATTTTAGGGAACCATTATGTGAAATGATAGAATAACGAGAATTGATAAGGCACGGTTGTTGGAAGGTCAAGGTATATGACTAAAGATGCTTTGAGGTTAAGAGGAGATGAAAATTTAACAAAATGATACATGGTTAAGTGCTTTTGTACATGAAAGCATCTGCATTTACGTAAAAGCATGAGAAAATAGATTTATGCAGCTATGAATTGAAAAACTGCATAAGTGTCTTTCAGAATTTTATTCTAATGAATTTTATTCTAATGAACAATAAGTAGTAAGTATTGTTTCTGAATGCCCATGGATCTGTGAGGAAGAGATTTATCACCAGTATTTTACAAAACTGGCATTCATTTATGCTCAAAAGACAAGTAAAAGAGAACACTGACAAGCCAAAGCTTTTTTCCATTATGAAAATCAAAGAAAATGGTGGATAGTCTTGAACATTGTTTTGATATATTTAATCTTGGCGGACATGAAGATATGTTCAGTTTTATAGCCCTTATTTTTCTTTGTTCTGCAAAGGAACGGGCAGAAGATAAATACTATTCAATTGTCTTCAGTTCCCAACAGATGCTTTCATCCCTGGATTAGTAGACAACAAAATTGATTTGGAGCCCAATTTTCTTGATT